GATTCTATCTAGTGTAAAACCAGTCTCCGAAAAAAGTGAGGACTAAAGAAAAAAAAAAAAAAAAGGTCCTCACTTTTTTAAATCGATTCTATCTAGTGTAAAACAGTCACAATTCCACAATGGGGGTCTAAACTTTTGCCAAACTTTTGTCAAAAAACAAGTGAAGACCTAAAAAAAAAAAAAAAAGTCCTCACTTTTGAAAATCGATTATATCTAGTGTCAAATTTTCCAAATCGCTGGGGGGGGGTCCACATTTTGGAATCCAAGAGGAGGGGTAAAACCGGAATACCCCCCCCCTTGCACACGTCTGCGGGTTAGTCGGGTAAGTCGGGAAAGTCCCAGAATGGGCCCCAAAATTCGTGGGGAATCGCTCCAAATTTGTGGGGAATCTGGGTAAATTGGTGGGGAATCACTGTAAACTGGGCTCAAAATTGGGTAAGTCGGCTGGGCAAAGGGACAAGTCGGTGGGGAAGTCGACAGGTAAGTCGGGGAGGGGAAGTCGTATGGGTTGACCCCAGTTACCTCGACCTTGGAATTATTTTCCCAAAATTTCCCAAATTCCCCACAAATTCGGTGAAATTCGCACCTACAATTCGTCCTACAATTGGACGATCCCACAATTAGATGGTCCCACAACTGTCATAGGATGTTTGCCACTTCGTTTCATTCTTCGATAGTTTTTCGCATATAAAATTATAATTGACAATCCTCGATAATACGATCGCGTCAACGAGGGTGGTTCTTGTAAAAAGTGGTCCTCCAAAAGTCACTCCGAAAACGATTTTTGACGTTGGTACACCCAATTCTATAAGATTGTCAATCTTCTCTGAAAATCTACTTTCAGGCGTATATTCGTCTGAAATCTAGGCGAAAAAACGGCTGGAATACAACTTACTGGGAAGAATATCGACTGAGAGCGTATACTAGCCGGAATTCCGTCTATATTAAGACGTAAATTTTAAACAGTGTTTGGTCGAAAATAAAAATGATGGCATGAACGATTTAAATCTCTTTAATCCCTAGAAGTACTCTGGTCATACAATGTACGAGTACATAGCGATCGTATTACAGTAAACTTGATTTTGATTAACGCACCCATAAATAAATCACGAACATGGTATCAGAGATATTCATCTTCAACACAATACGATCGAGATTCGCATCATTGTCTAATTGATATATTTTTTAATTCAAAGGCGATTGGAACGAACTCGAACCATTTTTATTTGCTTCTTTCATCCAACCAATATAATCTGAAGGTATTTAAATAAATTGCACATATATTGGCTTGAATGTGTTCATATACAATGGACCATCCATCAGAGCTAAGTGTCATTTGTTCATATACAAGGCAACATTTAATTTTCAAAAACTGTATTCCAATCATATATTTTAATATTATTATTATTCCATAGAAAATTTAAAAAATCATTTTAGATGTTAGCACAGTTTACAACTCCAGTTTTTCAATGGTTAAGCATCAAATACAAAAAATGTTTTTATAGAATAAACAAGTGATCAAACTACACTTTAAGCAGCGCTTATTAGGTTAAAGAACACGAAACTCCACTGCAATAAGAGGCTCCTTCGTGTGCATCATGGTCGCCGCCATTTAGGTTGAATCTCGATGCATCAGATTCTGCATGGTTATCCCATAAGTGTCCTGTTTCGAGGATTTTGCGAACAACTTCTTCGAATGTTTCTTTAACACCTTCATTGGTTTTGGCTGAGGTTTCAAGGAACAACGTCCTGTGCTTTTTGGCAAAACGAATCCCCTCATCGCGACTCACTTCTCTGTGCGTCTGATCCAATTTATTGCCAACAACCATTTTGATCATGTTTGGTTTTGTGCCATAAATTTCGAGTTCATTCAACCATGATTCCAACTTTTGAAATGTGCCTGCTTTCGATATATCGTATACTAAAATTGCACCTTGGGCATCACTGAAACAACAAACGAAAATACCATAACATACAACGTATTTACATGCAGAGCAGTAATCGAGGAAATTGATTGTTTGCGTAAATTCAATAAAAAAAAGTATATTTGTATTACCGATAATAGCTTGGTGTCAACGTGCGGAATCTTTCTTGACCAGCAGTATCCCAACAAGCTATATAATGACAAACAAATAATAGTAAATAGTAAAACGCATTAATTAAATAGGTTGTTCCACCATATACGTATTATAAATTAAATCGCACATAACAATGACTACAAACCCAACTTCACGTAATTGTCGTCGACATTTATGATTTTTGTTTTAAAATCAACCCCAATGGTCAAGCTCTGGTCAGGGTCGAATTCGTCATCCGTGAAACGTAGAAGTAAACTAAGTATGATGCATAAAATTAAATCCAACATTGATAAATTAAACAGTCAATTGATGAAATTCAAAAGTAAAGAGTGCACACAATTGTGAACAACATTAGTCCGCGAAAAAATCATTTACCTCGATTTGCCCACGTTACTTTCACCAATGATTAAAATTTTCAACGTGGTCAAAAGTTTTACATCATCCATTCTGAATGCAAAATATTTTCGTAATATTAATGACGTAAAATCAAAATATACAATCAATTGAGAACGATTCGGAGTTTTAAGGCTTTTCTCAACGATATTGATTTGTTTTATATGTTTCTCAGAATCTTGAACAATCCAACTACACTGAACGCACTGAATATCATCTGATTGAATAAATATTATGTTTCATATTCATCATTATCGACGATAAGAAAAATAAAACAAATTTTAGGAATACGCAATTTTTTTCCTCAATTCTTCTAATATTATGTATTTATGACTGGGCCTTTGTTTTCGTCGTCGTTGAACAGATCAGATGTTAAATTAAGGAATTTATCATCAAGTCAACTGAATTGTCACACAAACGCTCTGTCAAACGCGTTGTTCGCAGTAGAACAAAAAATTCCAATTTCAACTTTAACTTCCACAAGATGGCGTTCATGCTACGCAGTACTCGAACCGAATTCCATTTGTATCAATTTATTCAAAATTAACTTTACGTTCAAATAGTTTCCTCTCGAAACAAACTATGGTAAAAAGCAATCAAAAGTTCTTTTATTTTGTTTTCTACTTAACATTTTATTATTAACATAGTTTAAATAATACAAATTACAAAAATTTCACGTTGCGCAGTGCCCTGAAGTCCAAAATGTTTTACCTGTGAAGTGATCAAGTGAACGAAGCAAACCCAATCGTTGAGAGATAGATAGACAGATTTAGAGAGGGTGAGAGAGTCGATTAGTTATTCATGTCTTAATTAAAATGATAATATTTGGTAAGTTGACTGGTTCCTATTAATAATAAGATATATATTTCTCATAGGTCCCTTTTGAATCGCACACTCAATTTCAACTAGTTAGTGATTATCATCGATGAAAAAAAAATTATCAAATTTATCCTTAGTCACACTAACTCATCTCTGTCAGAATCATAAAAGCTTCCGCTGCTGAGAGTAATTTTTTCAAAAATAGCACAAAACAGAAAAAAAAACTTGTTTCAATTTGTAAAAGGACGAAATATTGGTAAATCAAAAAAAAATCGATGGCATAAGCCAAGTTTTTAATAAAAAAAATATCTTTTCAACGACTTCGACGGTCGGTTGCTTTCAATCCATTCCGAAAAATTGCACTTTTGCACAAAATGTGATAGTATTTTTTTTACATGGCTCTTTTATTTCCAAGCCATTTCCAATACATACAAAAACTTAAAACTCGAACTATTTTATAAATTTTTTTTACATAAATTGCCTGCTTAATTTTTCGTGATTCCTCAATTTGAAAGACAAACAAAAAATATCTGCTTTTATTTCATTTCGTAAAAAAAAATAAAAAAAATTGTCACTTTTGCGCACATTTCCGACAGTTTCTTTGGAATAAATAACAAATGATAATACAAAAAAAATAACACAATAATTTATTGCTGATACGGTAAAAGTCGCGTCTTTTCTTGTCATCGTAAAAAGTGTTGATGTTCTTATTGCGGCTGCTGCTCCTTTTGCCGCTGTTGCAAATGATGATTCAAAATTCGAAGAAGGGAAAAAGCAAATTCATTTGTTTTGTTTATCTAAATCGTAAAAAAATTAGTGTTTTTTACTGTGTGACTCTGTAGTTGCTGTCTTGTTTTTTGTTTTGTTTAGAAAATATTAGTGAGTGGTGGTGATTTTTTTTGTTCGTTAGAATCTTTTTTGTGCAGATTTTTACGATGATCTACGGCGTTACATATGAATCGTAGCTGCTGTGTAACGCGCTTCTCCCCTTCGCCATGACCATTGGCTTGGACGGTACTGTAATTATAATGCACGAAAATCGAAATTCAATAGATGAAATGACATAGTATACAAACGTTATGTTGATATGGCGATAGAAAATGTGAAAATGGACGTGGAAAATAGAACTTTCACTCAAACTCCAAACCTGCATCAAGAGACTGAAACTTTCTTACCTTTATATGCTTCAGCTGCATGAAATTTTAATGATAATTTGATTTAGAATTCCACGTAATTCAAACAAACGAACAATTGAATCGTTTAGAATAAAATCGAAGTCGTCTGCCGACGATTTTTCGGTCTATGCATCTCGTGATTATTTGGTTTTCAGGTTGGAGATTTTTGAAAGTTTTCTTCATGTAATTCGATGGTTTTCTCTAAAACACAACATTTTCCATACATACTTATCGATCAAAAATCTCTAACCGGCGAAGCACATGTCAGAGGATATCTTTGACGTTTATTATAAACGATACAATTTAGTTTCGGCTCGTAACAAATCGCGAACCAAAAATCACATTTGATTGTTGTGCAATCGCATAAAAACGATTAACATCAACGGAAATGTTGAAATGCCATAAATCAGGAGAACCATGATGGATCGAGCAGAGTTTTAAAACGAAAGCAATATTGCAAAATTGTTCCAAACGAATTATTCATGTACCTGTATTAGAAGCTGACCGCTCTTTGTGTGTGGGTTGCGATATGCATAGAACACCCACATGACAAGACTGGCAACCACGATGATTGGTAACAAAATGCCAAGTGCAAAACTGGCATGGTTGTGTTTGGGTTCATTGTTGTTGCTGCTGCTGATGTGTGGAGCTGCTTTCTTCACATCGGTTGATGTTCTGTTTTCATTTGCATCAGTGGCGGCGGAGGTGGCGGCGTTGCTCAAATTCTGTTGCTCGTTTTCTCGGTTCGTTGCCGATGACGATGGTGATGACGTCACCGTCTGCTGTGACGAGTAATTATTACCTTTGGTGCCAAGTGCTGGACATATTTTCGAATCTTTCAATTGCGATCGTTCGCAGCCACTTTGAATCCATTGTTGCCGTTTGCGGTCCGTTCCAGTCGAGCACCGATTCAAGCTCGGACACCACGTACACTGTAAGAAACACCGTACAAAATATTAAAATCCATCAATTCGGTCATTTTTGCACTCAGGCCAAAAAACAACCCGTCGATCAAACAACAACAAGAACAACTTACATTGAATGTTTCGAGTTTAGCGTCTAAGCAGCTGACACAATCTGTGTGTTCCAGGCAAGTGGGTAGCGCTTTTAGATAGATGACCGTGTCGTTTGCGATGTCTTGTCCGTTGAAATTGACCCGATGATATTCATAAATTGTTTTGCGACGAGCGACTGTAAGTACACAAAGTACACAGAAAAAAAGAGTCGAAAAAAATTAAAGGTAAACAAATTATTTTTCCAATCACAACTACGTACAATAAATGGTTTTATCGATGATGTAAGCATCGGATAGGCCAATTTTTACGGGATGCTTCTCATCTTTGATGTTTTCAATGGCAATCGGTATCTCTTTGTATGCAAATGTGATGTCACCGGTGTTGTGCAGGGTCACACTGAATGTAAATAATGGCGACTTTGATGGGGTTCCATCTTGCAATGGTACTTTTTCCCATATCACAGTGAATGCAGTTCCTGTTAAAATAAATTGCGGCGGTTTGCACACACATGCACGAGCACAGGCAGTATACAAACACATACATAATGCGAAAAAAAGAAATACGCAATGAATACGCGCGCTGTTAATTCAGTTATTGAAAATGAGAAAGCACAACAGTGCTTATCGAGAATTCATGAGTTATTTTACCATTATCGCTGTACTTCACCGTTGATACGTTAGACATGCTCGTATCAAAGTTTGCCATAAGTGGTGCGATATACTGCGTAGCTGCGAGCCATGAGTGCACATATTCTCCAGTGTAGAGGAATCCACCGGTGGCCACAGTGACATTGCGAACCATATGTCCGTAAAATGGAAAATCGAATTTCAATTGCACCGTCTGCGAAATTAAAAAAAAGAAAATATAAATGAGATCCATCAATTGATTTAACGGTCAATTGAACAGTCATTAAAAATAAACTGTTGCGTTGCACACCCGTGGTGCTGAGCAGCAGCAGCAGCAAATATGGTTGGTTGTTTGGCTTGGTTTCAACTTACAATGGCTCTTCGATGTGATTTAGATAGAATGCTGCTGATTATGTAATCCTTTTTCGCGGACCAATATTCATCAGATTTGTTCTTATTTACCACCATGGTGCTGTTGTAGTATTGGAAATAATCGACTTTCTTGGTCGAGTTCGTTAGTTCATCGGTAATTGTTTTATTGATTGCCTCTTCCGGCTCATCAATACTGCCAATTAACTTTTCAATATCATCGGAGTCGGTTGCCTCGGTATCGATTGCCTTTGTAGTCGACGTTGACGACTGTTGTACAGTGCCCAGACTTTTGTTCATCATTGGACCTTTGTTATCTGAAGCTGTTCCTGCAGCTGCTGTCAACACTGATGCCGGTTCAGATGCCATTTTCGTATCATTTGGATAGTATTTCCGTTGGCCGGCCCCATCTACACCGAGCAAATGTTGTTGCGTGCTCTGTGGCGTTGGGGTTTCAGTTTTCGTCTTATCAGAGGTCGTCAAAGAAGTTGGTGTTGACGTCAATGATGCCACCGCCGACGACGAACTACTAGTTACAGGCAATGCAGGCGAGTCTGTATCGCGTTTCACACGAAATGATCGGAATTCCACATTAGCTAAGTGTTTTTGACTATCCGAATTTTCTATGCTGTATTGGTATCGTTGGTCTCCTACGTCAAAAAGAAATTGAAATAAAATTTTTATGATATTGGAAATACTTTTTTTCGTTAAAAAAAAATCCGGTAAGAGGAGCTCAAATGCAACTTTCAAGAGATAGTAGATGGAGTAGACAATAGTTATTGTATGCGGTTTATTTTTATAATATTTGTCCGAATTCCAGCGGAATGATGATATCACCATTATATCTTCTTTTTTTGTTGTTGTTTGCTCGTCAAACAAATCGTTACCAAAAACATAAATACGTCGATAAAAACACATTTGCGGACGATAAATTATATGAAATAACTGACACAGATGTTGATTGTTGCTAGTCCATTTTCACATCGTTTTGCGGTTGTGTCAAATAGTATCGTGCGTGTACGCACTATACCGTCAAAATGGATTGTTGTGACGATGACGACGACAAGCATAACGAAGAGCTAATATTAAGTGGTCTTAATCACTATTTTCATGCTGGTGCTGTCGCTACACCAAAGCCAATTTAATTAAATTATGTCATGTTCTTAAAGACGACATGGAACGTTGATGAACACCTAATCAGAACATATGTAAAAAAAATTGACCGTTTGCAGTATAGACTACCATCACCGCCACCACCGAATAGGGCCGTAAGTCAAGATAGGGAAAACGAAGCAACTATAAAAATTTTTGTTACGTAGTGTCACACTGTGATTATAATTGTTGAGGTGGTGCTCGAAAATTGTGAAACTTGAATTTGTTTAATCTTTTTAAAGTGATTCAGAAAAATAGCAGAAACCAACAAAATAAACAAAATGGAAGAAGAAACGACGGGAACATTATCGATGGGCGACGACACTCAACAGATAACCAGATGTTATTGAAGTGATCTTGGAAACAGTTGGGTTTTTTTCTCCTAATTATAAACGGTAGTGAAATTCCCATATTCAGCGAAATTTCCTAAAATGTGCTGATTCATACACATAACAAATTTGAATATATAGCCAATTAACGCATTGACGAAGACGAAGTTTTTTGCGACGTCAACTTTTATATTGTGGTTCAAGTCTAAACGTTCGATGAAATTGTCATTTCTTTTTCCTTCAATTCTTTTATGTGTGTCAAATGTAGTCCGTTCACTTTGGTGTTCGTAACTAGCGCGTAAATTGGTTGCCAATGATCAATAACGAGGTAGTTCTTTTTATTCTATTGAAGGCAACGCGCAATCAACATTAATTTGCAAAGAAATGAATTCGCTGAGTGAGTGGAATTCATTGAATATTTAATACACGGGATATGCACATGCACACAATTTCTCAATATTTACATATTCTCTGCTTAACTTCAATTCAAATCAAAACACTTGCAGTATATCAGATATATATGTATATATAGTTTTTTTGTCGTTATTGTTGTTGTTGTTGCTGTTGCTGCTGCTGTTGCTGCTCCTGTTTTTTATTGCGTTTTGTTCGTTGCGAACAAGATTTTATTATTGCTTGCGTCACAAAGATACGAACAGTGGTTCGAATGGAAAACGATTCGCTGATGATTAATGTTGGAATGGTTTCGATAAAATTCGATAGAATTTAAATTTACTTACTATTGATTTCATTTGATTGGGTAAATTCTACAAAAATTAAACAAAATACGCAGAATTTGATGAAAACACAATATACGTTCGCCATCTTTCTTAAACACTACTTTACGAATGACTGTTGAAATACGTCTTATGATTCGCTTTCCTACATTTACATGTCATTCGCTGTGTGTTTGAGTACACACATCATCCGTATATAGTAGACACAATTTATTTTGAACTTTGACAGATGAATCCAATTGGATTCTTCGTATAGTGGCCACAACAAATTCATACGTTGCCATATGTCCCTATGCATATGTATGCATTCGAATGTTAGTATGTGTGTGCATACATCGCTCAACATTTATATGTATTGAATTCGCCGAAGTCGTATTCCACGTTTGTCGCATTGTTTTTCTGCTCAATTTGTTGGTTGCTGTTGTCCATTACGAACACATGCCCAATTTCTTGGGAAAATTTCTAGGAAATCATAATTGATTGCAAAACGTAATGGACACAAAATGTAAATCGACAAACGAAAAAGGAGTTTACTAGCCACTTTGCATATTTTCTGCACGTTACTGCAGAATTTAGATAAATTTTCAATGCTTTCAGAACTAACAAATATCCCCGCATCTCTCCGCATAATGCATATACAATATTTTCTACTCATTTAATCGAAACGTCAGTTCAACATTTTTAACTCAAAGTTCGTGTTTTTCATTCCAATATTCAACCGAGTGTGTGAACGGAGTGAAAAAGTCGTCACACATAAGTTTGACATAAACACACGAAAGGACAATAAATTATTTTCGCGAAAGGCGCTTGAAAAATCAAAGCAATTTTTTTTCTTTAGATTTTTTAAATAAATTCAACCATATTCGTGATTATGAGTGCTGAAGCTATGTGCTGAAAATGTAATTGAAATTAATGGCAATTTGCCCAAATGTAAACAAATCGAAATTAAATAAGTTGTAATTATTATTGGAATTGCGCATAAAGACATCCCTTAGCATAATGACACCCGTCAATGATCTCACACCATTTGGAATGTTTTTACTTGGAGAGGAACCGGTAAGAAGTATCCTATCATAGAACATATGAAATATTATGTCATATTAATATACGTTCGCAGACTATTGAGGATTTCATACTTTTGATCGGAACAATTGTGGCTTTCATTGCGTTTGTTTTGTGGTGCTGTTTCCCAATCCACCCAAAAGTAAGAGACAAACACTATAGTGTTAAATATATATATTTAAAAGAAGAATCAAACAAAAAAACTTTCAAATTTTGCAGGAAGGTCTTGGTCACCAATCATTCTCATGCAAATCACTGCATGTTTTGAAATCATCATCATCATCACATCAGAAGTATGCTGAAGACAATCACAATGAGCAGCATGATGGCTCTAAATACGGCCACAATGCCGAAATGAATCCCATTTATCACTGTTGCAGCGGCAGCAGCAACAGCAACAGCAACAATAACTGAGTGAAAATAAGAGCGGGTGAATAGTGAATAGACGTTCACCCGACAAAAATAAATCTTGTAGATAAAACGCAAACATTCTTCTAGTCAGGTTTGGTGGAACGGTGAATGAAGATATATGCAATCGACTGAAAGACTAAAATGGAATTATACGGAATGGTTTCAACAAAAACAACAACATATTCATCATATGAAGCTCGTTTGGAGTGAATTTTGCCCCAGAAAAAAAACGTTGCTTCTTTCCGACTGAATATTATTTTTATTATTTGACTTCACATCATTTTTAGTTTGAGTGTAAATAAAATTCTAACATTGCATTTCAATTGAACATAATATTTTGTAATTTGTATTATAAATAATACTCACACTTGAACTCACCGTTCACAAATCACATTTTCAACAACAGTTTCTGTGCTACTCTCTGGTCAAGTAGATGTAAATGTAAGAATTTTAAACGAGAATTAAGTGTTACATTTTACATGAAATTTGCTGTAAAACTATTTTTTTCTCTCACTTAAATTGAACTAATAATTGAAAGATCTAAAAAAATCAAACTTCAAATGTTTCATAATGATTCAACTGGTTTTCATTTTATTTCAAGAAAAGTATTCTCTCCTTTATTAAAATGGAACACGGCAGAATCCAAAGTGTGTTGAAGAAGACATCCCATTTTTGTTCTCTTTATAATTTAATCTGAATGGCTTATTACACTGTTTAATTTTTTTTCTTCATAAAAATAGACTGCAAGCTCTTTGATGAAGTTGTTAAATGCATCATGGCGATCGATAGATAGATAGTCGCACAGAATTGCATCATCAAGTTGTATTGAAAAAATAGTTTCCCGATCGTTAATTTTTTTTTTTTGATTTCGATTACATCGGCAAAAATTGCTCAAAATTAGGCTAGTAGTAGAAAATAAATTTTCAAAATTCTATTCTTCTGTATTAAAATGGATAAATCACTCCAAATTATTATTATTGGTGCGATTTTTCTTTTTCCACATCTGTTTTGTGAATTGTTGCTGCTAATGCGAGTGGAGGTAGAAAAGTTCTGGTGTTTTTTTTCTCAATTGCTGTGCTCTTCGAGCTTTTGCCCGGGTGTTATTTCTTATATTTAATGTAAAAAGTCTTCTTAGAACGATATCTTTTTTGTTCCATTTTGGACCATGTTTGTTTTATGTTTAGCTAATTCCACCCAATGAAAAATGTTGAAACTTTGATGTATTTTCCTAACACACACACATAAGATCAAATCAGACCCACTAGTCCGTTTTTTTTCATTGGAACTTTAGTGATTTAGCAAACAGAGCCGCCAGAGCCTGCGTCTTATTACCGTTGGCAGTTCGCAGCTCGGCAATCGCTCTGTCCCGAGGGAAACCATTCTTCACGATTTCGGCGACATCAGACTCGTTGAACTTATCAGTCGGCAATATCGATTCTTGACCCAATGCCGATGCGGATGAAGACGATGATGAAGTTCCTGCACCCAATGACCCAGCCAATCCACTCGCTAAAAGTCCAAGTCTCATTAATTTTTTGTTCGTAATTTGTATGTCCAAAACTAACCTTGATCTTGTTTACTTCTTTCGATCGCCTTCTGTATTTCGGCTGCTTCAAGTGCATCAGTGGTTGATTTCATTTCGTCGGCAACAAGTCTAGTACCTTCTTCACCGCTCAATGTGAGACGGCTATGCGTTGGCAATTCATTTTCCGGCAAGAATTTCGTTTCTGTGCCTGTGGTCCCAATTCGGAGAAAATTTTGTTGCAAATCAATTGTGCACTGGTGCCGCTTCAGCATGTCTAAACCCAGCAACATATCCATTGTCTGATCTTCAAGCACCGAAAAACTTGTGAGGAGAAAAACGTTTTCGATTTCCACTTGAGCGACATGCACTCGTCCAATAATCTTTTGAACACCAACACCCTTGGCAATTCCAGACCATCTAGCATTTGTACATAAAAGAGGGTAGAAGTTTGTCTTGTTTTAATAGATGGTTCTTGATTTTATTCAGGACATGCCTGAACGAACGACATAGTGAATATACCTAGTGTCAACCAAACGCATAACATTGCAGCGTTCAGCACAGGAAGAGCTCATTATCGTTGCTTGGGCTCCTGAATCAACGAACGCTTTTACCGGCACACCGTTTACCTTACAGTTGATGTACAACATAACAACTGTGCCAAACGTTTCTGGATTGTATTCCATCGCAGCTTCCATATTGGCTTCGATGTTTTTCTGTCGAATTTCTTCGGCTATCAAGCGTTGTGCCTCATGATCGAATGGATCGGCTTCCATCATTCGCCGACGTTGTTGTGCACGTTCGTATCGTGCTTGTATCTGTTGCCGAAGAACGGTCGAAAATGTTTCCAAATTGCCAGACAACAATGCATCGGCCAATGTTGGATTGTTTTGTTTGAGCTGAGGATAAAGAGCAGAATATACACATTCAACAATCCATTTCATTTAATCTTAAACAAAATTTCAAATTAAAATAATGTTTACCAGTGCCAATTGATCTGGATTTTTGAAAAATGCCTCGCGAACCATGGCAGGGTCATCGTTCATGCCAATCGAAATGGGACTTTGCAATGCGCCACCGTTTCCGCTGCCCTGCAAACTACTGCTAAGACTACCACTGCCGCTGCCGCTGCCACCATTGCTTGGGACGCGAATCGCACTAAAATCTAGGCCTGCCAATGCTACAAAGCAACACACGTATTGAAACAACAACAACAATAACAAAATTGCATGATAAATACTTACGATTATTTGTATTGGAATTGCTTCTGTTGCTGCTTCTGTTTACCGCTGCTGATGATAATAAACTGGCGGCTTGCATCGCATGCTGCAGCAAAACCACATCACCATCACCGACGCCATGATCCTTTAGCGATTTTTTGTCGTCCAATAATGGCTGACCTTTGAACGTGATCACGATTTCTGTTGACGGGAAACCCGATTCAACCTCACAAAAAGCCTTGAAATTCTCCAATTCCAACTCCTCCGACACATCCAATTCGAACACATAATCGGTAACCGTAGTCACAGTTATTTTCATGATTATTCGTTTATTGACAAACAAACAAAAAAAGTTCAAATTCAAATACGAATTTTCCCCAGAATTTCACAATAGTTTTTTTTTCACTGCAATTTGCTGCTCGATCTATTTCGTGTTTATAAATGAATGCTCTCTGCACGCTTTTTCGGCTGAGGTGCTTGTGTGCACGCCAATGATGACTCTTCAAAAATTGGAATCGTAAATATGTATGAAAATGCGAACGAAATAAAGTCTTTTGTTTATCGGACACTTTTCACGTTCATCAATGCATGTTAACGCAAGGGAGGAAATTGTCAAAAAAAAACTAGCTCGCAATGCCGCAATTTGTCAAAACCGAATATGAGATACGAATTGTGAAAAAATACCTTTCGTATGTTGAATATTACGGTTAAATTGAAGGAATTAAGGGTTTGAGCCGGAATTTTCCAAATGGAATTGGCTTCAACACACGAAGCAACAGCACACAAAATGTTACCACGGCCGCAAATCGTCGAACGTCAAACTTGTTTGTTGTTATATATAAATGAATTGGACGAATATGCAAAAAATGGTTTTGGAATATTCGCAATTCGCCCCAGCCAGATGGCGTGTTCGACCGTTTGTATTATTTTTGTTATTAACTCATTTATTAATCGATTTAGAATGAAGTATTAGCATCTTTATTTGCTAATTTTATGACAGAAAAAACTGAATTGGTATATGGTACATCTATATTGGAAATAGTTTTGCATAAATATGCAAATTCAAATCAACGTGTGAAATGAACACAAACGGCGCAACACTGACTGAATCGTACGTAAATGGGCGAAAATGGCAACACTTTTGCGAAACGAATATACGTATACGTACGACTCTGTTCGCACTGATCCAGGAAAAATATATAGTCTGTGGTACGTAGTGTGTATATAAATTTTAAGAAGCATCAAAATAAAATTTACTTTCTATCGATATATCATAGTAAAAATATCACAATTATTTTCATCAAGAAAACGTGTTCAATCGAAGCGATAGTGAGTGTTTTATCGGGAGTTTGAATTATTAAGACCAAAAGAAGAAATTCATGCGAAATTGTGTCAATTATGTCACTGCAACCATAAAAAACATAACCATAGAAAAGAGGAACAGAGAAACAAGTCTGGAGACTACGTGAGAACCTCGAAAAAAAAACTTCTCAAACTAATTTTATTGTTGACCTGTGTTTAGAACTTGATTCGTCGATTTTCATCGAAAAACAAAGTGTTTGGAAACCCATTGGAAAAATTGCTAAATATTTTCGATTGCGAACAGAAAGTGTGCATACGTGAGAAGTGGAGAAAAAAAATAACTTCAACATAAGTGAGGACTGAACACACAAAGTTGTATATAAATACTCACTATACGATATACGACGACTAATTTCGACGCAATAAGATATTTTTTTTTGCTTTCGTCAATTTTCCATACGCTTGTTGTGACTTTTATTTTTAATTTTCTGTGAAGCCTTAGTTAATTTTGTGGTAAAAAAAGTTTTTATGTTCATAAATTGATTTTTGTTGAAAATTGCGAATAAAGAAGTAATAATTGAAAGAAAAAGTTCAAGTATCTCCCCATCTCACACACTCTCTCAGCGAATATTTGTGTTCACAATATAAATAATATAGATATATAGTACAAAAACCAAGGAAAGCCACGACAAACTAACTTATATGTTAAATAAGTGGAATATCAGGTGAATGCACGACTGAAAGGTCATTTGTTTTATTCAACTGCACTTTTCAATGCAATTGCATGTCAAATACACTCAAACACACATTTTGAAATATTGATAGATATGCGCTCGAGCTCGCATACATTCTGTTCAATTCGTAATTTAATAACAGTATTGAAACAACATTTTCTCCTTCTATTAACAGTATTCAATAAAGTGCTTTTGTGTGCACAAAAATCGAGTGTCTAAACCAGATCATATTTTAAAGTGGAACCATTTGCTGCGGCCAAGTCAAGACCAAGTTGCAAAAGAGACATTTCGCCACCAACAAAAATATTTTCATTTTACACAGAAGAGTATCGAACAGTGAATTTATGTCAGCATGAGCTCTGATCCTAGTCCAGCTACATTGCAGCATTCTTCAACTACGGAAACGGAAAAGGTGACTTTTTCTGCATAATCTAGGCATTTCTCGGTTATTCAATCTTTTGTTGTTGTTCTTGTTAATTTCACTACACTCAAACCATAAGCATTTCGGAAGAAGTAAATAGAGATAAATAACAAAGATCCTTGAGCTCTTGATAAGAAATTCATTACGCGATTATTCTGCTGATTTCTTTTCGCAGGTATTTCAATGGATCAACGAATTGTCGAATCCAGATACGCGCGAAACGGCTTTGATGGAGTTGAGCAAGAAACGTGAAAGTGTTCCAGATCTGGCGCCAATGCTATGGCATAGCTTTGGCACAATCGTTGCATTGCTTCAGGAGATCATCAACATCTATCCATCAATAAATCCGCCCACACTCACTGCCCATCAATCCAATCGTGTGTGTAATGCCTTGGCCCTGCTGCAGTGCGTTGCATCGCACCCAGAAACGCGATCCGTTTTCCTAAATGCTCAAATTCCATTATTTTTATATCCATTTTTGAATACAACATCAAAAACGCGACCATTCGAATACTTACGGCTCACTAGTCTCGGTGTCATAGGCGCTCTTGTGAAGGTAATTTTTGCCATTTATAATTACAAGCATTAATCGTCACCAATAATACGCTACAAAAACTGATTTTCGCCCTTGCTGCTCTTTGATCTAAATTTAAATTTTCTTCATCATCAAACACATTTGCCATTATTTGAAGTATGATCATTAACGGCTTGGTTTATTCTTCAAATTTTCAGACTGACGAAGAAGAAGTGATCACATTTTTGCTGAGCACCGAAATTATTCCATTATGCTTGCGGATCATGGAGTCCGGTTCAGAGTTGAGCAAAACCGTGGCGACATTCATTTTGCAGAAGATCTTGTTGGACGAAAAAGGCCTGTCATACATTTGCCAAACGTTTGAACGTTTCTCACATGTTGCAATCATTTTGGTGAGTTTTTTTTTTATTTTGTTTCGTACTCAAAAGTTTTTTCCTCATCTTCTAATATTTGATTTGAATTTCAACTGATTTTCAGGGCAAGATGGTTATTCATTTGGCCAAAGAACCATCTGTTAGACTGCTTAAGCATGTAGTTCGTTGTTATTTGCGTTTGTCGGATAACCAACGGTTTGTATTTTGAGACTTTCAATTTGAGAGTTTATCCTTCTATTCGAAATTTGAACCATTTAAACTTTTTTTTCAACCAACAGAGCTTGTGAAGCCCTGCAGCAATGTTTGCCCGATCAACTTCGTGATTCAACTTTTGCCGCATGCTTGCAAGAGGATAAGTCAACAAAGCACTGGCTGTCATTATTGATTAAAAATGTGGATACTTATTCGATTAATCCACGACAAGTTGGCATATCGCCATTGGCCTCATAAAAAGTAAGTGTTTAAAACTGTCAGAAAATCAACATTTGCCACACAATTTAAGCAGTATGCACAACTTGACCTAATAACCGATTTCTCTGTGTCTCACTCCTTCAGCTCTCTCTCTCTATCTCTGCCGATTTTCTATCATAAACGAAATTCTATGTGTGGTCCAGAAACTCCACTGCAGCAGCAATTAGAATATTATTATCACGGAACCATGTTAAACAAATTTAAAGAGATTTTAAGAACAAAAAACACACATTTGCATTAAACAAACAAACTTACAATAATTCAAAGAACACAACAACAACAACAGAAAACACCAGTGGCATTACAAATTAGATGGCTTTGAATAATGTTTACTATTTGAGACTGCATCAGAATGAAGAGAATGTTACAAAAAAAGAGTAAGAAAACACTAGATACATGGTACCTAAATTTTGAAATTGAATTTGAAGTTGTACTGGTTTATATTATTCGTGATTTCATTCGGCCGAATGTTGTCAACCAATCATATTTTATCTCAAATCAAAATTGAACAAAGATAGAAAATGTAATGAATCGAAATCGAAATGCTAATAGGAAGGAAAACAAAATATTAGATTCCACACAAATTCTTAATCATAAATTAATTAAAAACAAAAACCTAGCGTGAAAATGGATCAAGATTGCTCTGCGATGTAATTACTAAATTTTACTAAAGAAAACAAAACTTAAATTGTTTATTTTACGTTTTAAAATAAGCAAAAATCAGAAGAAAAAAAATAAACAACAAAAAACAATGTTGGAAATGTTCTTATTAGCACTTAAAAATTTAATGTAATATTTAATCGATGTGGATGATACATGTAAATTAGCCGTTAAGCTTATTACAACAATTTCCGTACATTTTTGTAAATTAATAGAATTATTTTAGAAACTAACAAAACATATTTTATATTGAGGAATTATCGACAACATTTGTTTCAATTAAAGAAAATTCATAAAAATCAAAGTTTTTCGGGAATTTTTACTTTTCCTTTGTCACTCTTTATATTATCAAGTTCACAATTTTTGTTCACATGGACAGATTGACTCACAGAACGAATGGCGTACAACGAGTGTCCGTTGGAATAATTTGTGTCGCCTCATGGAATCATTTTCACACGTTTTCTAACGTTTAACGAAGGAAAAATGAAAAGCAGTTTCAGCTCGAGTATCGTTTCAAGTTTTTTTTTTCATTCTTTTCTTTAGATTTCGATCATTTTTTTGTTTGAACCCAGCAAATATACAAAACTTATTAAAATGCTTTTGAAATTCCATAATGCTGCTCGTATTATATAGCCATGAATAATTCGGTTTTTTTCTGCTTTCTGGCAATATTCTGGACCACCAAAGCCTCATCCTCAGACATGACAAAAGAAATTCCGCCGTACAGAGTACGAACAATGCATTGTCGTCTACGGTCGCTTTGTGGGTAACAGTTTTGGGCATTGTGAAAAAGCCACAGAGAGTATTCGATGGCACGTTTGAACAGAACAGACGTCTGAATTCTCAACAGCCACGAAACAAGTTCTCTTCACGCATCTATTATAGTTTTGATTAACATCCCATTCTTTTGCAATGCGATGTGTTTGAACAAACGTCTGGAACATCGATATTTTCTGCACCTATTTCGCGCCAAGAAACTGAAATCCGTTGGAAATTGATGAAAAAAATTAAAAAGCACACACTCTGAAAAATGGCGTGAAAAAGAATATATATCTCGCTAAGTAGTAGTATCGAGGATGGGAAATCATGATGACTAGGCATTACAATGATTGCTTAACCACTCCAGCGTCGTCAAGATCTAAGACAGAAAAAAATTACAATTTGCTCATTCGTTGAGAATTTCCATGCTTTCTCAACCGAACGGGTGGCCCTTTTCACGGACCGAATCTACATAGATCCATTTTGCAAATCAAATTCGAATTCGATTCGGATACTCCGAGCTGTTTCTGTAAATCCAAAAATGTATTGGTTGCCATTTAAATTGTTGAAGATTTAACCGAATCGAATAACGGCTGTCATAAATTAAAACGAACTCCTGGTTTAACCTTGGCTGAAATGGTTATAATGCTATGTAGTATGCAAAAAAAGAAAATCCAGTTAAAAGTATCCTTCTTGCCGTCATCGTAGTCGTCTAAAAAATGGTAACCGAATTTATCTCTCAATACAATCCTCGTCTTTCAACGGAAAATGGAAATCAGCAGATAAATTCTTTAATGACCTTTTGAACTGAGTTCCATTATTTATTTGGCGGGCCGGCTGTGTGCGTCCATTTCTTTACAGTCCAAAAAATCGGCTTTTTAAAAAGCCATTCAATTCACTTAATAATTAAAACGAGAACCAAACTCTTTTATTCGATCGTTACATTGTGTATTCAATGTTTTTTTGCTCGGTTCACACACTCGAATACACTCCTCATTCTTATACCCACAGTTTTTTTTTCTCTCTCACACATTTCACTGAAAAGATCCCTCAAATTTTTGGCTCTGTACAAACTGCGGCTTAAACAAGATCAGCGACAATTGCGAATTTACACAAATAATACGTTACAGACTCAATCATTTGTATTGAATACGACGACGGTCAGTCGATAGGCACGCATATACGCACACATTATTTCTAAAAAAAAATCTTTACTCGCGTTCTCATTTTAATAATAACTTAAAGAAAACGTGTTTTATCAGACCATAAGACATTTCCCTTTTATTTTGTGAGAAAATAGAATGAGCAAAAAACGAATCGAAGTAATTTTCATTTTCTTACCGTGTGCCACGTTTGATGGGGAGAAACGGACACTTTTTGTTTTATTGTACTTTAAGAATGTGTGATCAATCGCTCATCTTCATCTTCAGTCTTCAACAGTTGTCGTTGCATCCATTCCCATCGGTTGTCGTGGCATTGTGTAAATAGCCATGTAAATAGCATGTGCCAACAACAACAACAACAACAATAATAATGAGCTACTAATCGTCCGGTGGGCTGAACATTTGATCGAACCAGGTTTCATTGTTATGCATCCAATGTAAGTGCGTTGATATAATGCGTACGCAAAAAAATGCACCACTTGAAAATTAACAGTTGTGCGCACGAGAACGCATTTTGTATGCAATGCAAGCAACAACACACGTTCTAGCCTGAATCAAAAAGCAGTTCGTTGCCAGTGTGTGAGATGTGCATATATTATTGCGAATTTACCCTTTCTATGCACTTCCACTGCACATAATATATGAATGCGACGTGGCACATGCACAAATGCATATGATTTACGCGTGGTCTATTGGATGGTCACATATGAAAGAGGGGAGAAATAGCTCGAATCAAATTGCATATTAATTAAAGCATAGTTATCAAATAATCTAGATGGAATAGCGAATAAATGCTTCTTCATATGGAAAATGGCCACGGAAAAGCCAATAGCTGAACATCTTCTTTATATGGCTGTGAAAGTACAAATGCTGATTGGACAAGCCGCAAACGACTTTTTTGATATATGAACAAAAACAGGTAAGTAAGGATTAGTTCCTCAAGCAAATAAAATGGCATGTTTGCATTGAATTGAAAAAAAAAATGATGAGAAGAATGATATATTGAATATTATTATGTAGTTGCATTCTAAACTCATTGGAATTACCGCATTGTTTCATCTCGAAAAGTCATAAATTATGCATTTTCATTTGAAACGCTGTGAAAGTGTCATCATAACAAAATATCTACTATATCCTGATAATTTCTGTGAACGAAACTCGGGACACATTGGCAATGAAAATATTTTAGGATTCGTTCTGCGTTGCTCAATTTTAACGTTTCCTCTTAAAGCTGAACATTATAAGGCGTTTCATGCGTTAAATGTTTCTTGCAATATAATAAGCACCCGAAACTGAATTGTTTACCCTCTTCAAGAATCGAACGAAACATATTTTTTTTTCCTGGCGGAACGAAACTACTTCGTGTAATTCTCATGCAGTCGCTGCGAGCCCCCTGCGTAAAACAATGCTTGCAAAAAACGCATTTGAATATTTGTGCTTCCCTTTTTCCACACGGCAGAAGGACGTAAAATCCTTTGTACAATATGATAATATTGAATTGAATATCGAGGAGATTCGCACTGGTTTCGATTTCCTGTTTCATCGCGTATACAACGAAAAGAACAGAAAAAATTGTGGTAAAGTGCTGAGCTATGTTTTACTTTTGTGAAGAAGTAACATTGTAATCAATGAGACAACAATTCAAAGGTCAAAAATCAAGCGTTTTCTATCTACTTTATATTCAAGCATAAACCAAGATCAATCTTTTTACAACGAATTTTTGCTCTCGAAAATGCCACACCGGAATGAACGGTTTACATAAAGTAGAATCATAAAAATAGGATATAGCAGACCCTATTCAATTGTGTGAATAAAGTAACTTTCATTGTGTGGAAAAATTCAAGAAATTGAGAATATGACGATGTGCCGTACTTTTGGATATTTGCAATTTCGACGGCATGGCCAAAAAGTGATCATCGCATCAAATATTGTTTGCGATAATCTATTTGAAATTTACGTTCTAATCTAAGCCCGGATGACATCATTTAATCCAAAATTTGGTTGGACCTATTCGCAAAACGTCGTGTCAAAAACAATGAACATCAACAATATATCGAGTGAGTGGCGAACGCCATAAAACGCTAGCGATGCGCTGCGATTTTGATTGAAATAAATGGACTTATAAATAATTTACGAAAAAATATTGAAATTAAATCCACAAAACCCGCTTACATATGCAAATCAAGCCGATGCTTAAAATCAAAGTGTGCGACAGTAAACGAAGTACTAGAACAATGAAATGAGAAGAAAAAAACGCTTGGAAATACTTAAGCGCTATTCAAAAGCGATAGTAAATTTGGAATGCGAGGCGTGAAAGAGACAAACGCACGCGTATTAAATGGGTGAACGAGACATTGATCATAGACGTGAATAGGAGGTTCGCAAGGCAAAGCCGATAAGATATGCGTGGGACCGACTATCCACACTGAAGCGGCTGTCGAATTTATTTCACGTTATATTTGATATACATATATTCAAGCTGCTCCACAAATCAAAATCAATACGATCGACAAATATTCGTTCGAAATGACCATTGCTTCAAATTAGGATAAATAAAATGATATTTTCTAAATTGATGACTATAGTCATATATGAGTTCATTTTTAAAATAGAATTTGCATAGAAAATGTCGCACCGGAAATGGATTTTTTGTTTAAAAAAAATATTAGAATTGATATGATTACGTACGGCAACTCAGCTATATTTTCTAAATAAAATAAAACATAAAAAATTACAATGTAGTGATCGAGCCTTGTCGAGTTTTTTGAACCGACTCCTGCCTTCGAATCATTCATTATCGCAACCGACAATCCTGATATCGACAAAATTCTAAATAATCAGAGCAATTTAAATGTATCAGACGAATAAACAGAATGTACGTCGATTCGATGCGAACAGATGCATTTGAAAGTGTGACAACACACCGAGCGAATGCAATTTAGGAATCGAAACAACGTGATTGTGATTTCGTTGTTGTTGTTATTGTAGTTGCTGGAACTCAATTTGACGGCGTACACATATGTATCTGCTATCTAGTCTGTGCATGTGATACGATATTGTTCAGTAGATCGGTACGTCATCGAAATTGTCATTACAAACTCAAACACCAATATATAGACTCCAACCGCGAGTCGCAAGAGACCGAACGAACGAGAAAGGGAGTAAAAGAGCGTGAGTTTTGTAGCAAGAATTGGCATTGTGTCGGAGACCGAATACACATCGGCAAGCCAAATATACACATATTTGTGTCGATTATATGTTCCATCCACATGCAGTGAGTTTGGTGTATGTGCGAACGTAAACAAAACGTTTCTCCGATTAAATGATGGTGCTGCAAAGCTATTGAACACAACACACAATCGATACGCACACCGAACGGCAA